AATACAAAAATTCCCCGCGCGTAACCAGAAAAACAAACTCCACAAAGAATAAGAGTGACTGGCCCGTCGAGGTCATTGAAACTGAACGGCCCAAGAATGTGACCAATCAGACGTAAGCCATACATGGAAGTTGTAGGAAGTGACGGCCGAATGAGCCCCTGACGATAAACATTAACACTAAACCCTGGCCCACAAACCCTGACCCTGAGCCCTAAAACCTGACACTAACCCAAACCTTAGGTTCCAACCGTAAAACCCGAACCCTTACCTTTCTTTGAATCATAATCGCAGCAGTCCGCGAAATACCTCAAATTGAAAGTATCCGCAAGTAGTACTACGCCTGCTGAGATCAGTAATATTGTTAAAGCAGTAAATGTTAACCACCTACTGAAATCAATTATAGTACGAAAGTGATAGTTTGTTGACCAAGCAGGACAACGTTTCCGAGCCCCACCTACATTTTTATAGTTTATTACCCAGTGAGAGAGATAACAGTGTTGACGTTAAATGGATCTCCTTGATTATGTTAGGTGGGTGATTGCCGAATTCACCTATTGGTCATAACAGTTGTTTAGTGAGAAGACGACATCAGTTAGGCTTTACCGCTCACGGGGTTTCGTGTCGCTCTTCAAAACTTTTTATCTAAGGGTGGGTATGTTGAGGAAGGATGCTAGTTATTTCAGGGCTATCGAGAATGGGGAAACAAACAAGTAGGACATCCTCATCTGGTTTAATCTGTCGGTCAGAGGGGGTTACCGGAGCGCAACCGCAGCCCCGAGAACGGCATCATAGAGCCGCGAATGAAAGGTAGGTATCAGGGTGGGCAAAGTAGAAGTATCCACCAACTTCGCCGGTATGTTTGACGGGGACTGTCTTATTTGATACACCCAAACAAGATAGTGTCGTCTACCTTAGCTCTCTGCGTGTGACATTTGTTGACAGTGTTTGTGCGACGGGCTACTTTCGACAAGCTGTTGCTATGCAACGGTTATCCTGCTGCATCGACGAACAGGGAGTGACCGTGCAGTTGCAACGTGGCTCCAAGCCTACGACATTAAATACACTCCCCGACGATACCCACCACAATAAACGGAGATTGCCACTAATGTTTTCGACAAACAGAAGGAACTGTTAAGGAGATAAGCTGGCGGTTTTGTGTAACAGCGTTAGGCGCACGTCAGAGGCATGAGTCAAACTAGGTTGCGCTGAAGTGAGCCAAGAGATTGAATGTGACAGGTTATAATATCGCCTTAATGTATTGTGATAAGTGTGCCCCTAAAACGGGCCACGCGGTAAGTGCGCTGGGTCAACACAGAGGCTACATCTGAATCCGGCAGGCGTTATCCGGAATGCTCCCCCACAGCAAATGCCAACATTAGGGGGGTGATGGCACGTCCAGTCTCAGGCTCCCGACGCGCCAACGGGGTTTTGAGCTGCCCCCTTCTTCTTGGAGTACGAAATGATGGGCAGCGTATCTTGTGGACCAGGGAGTGCGGTGACACGTCTAGGTGCGGGTCTACGCCGTGTAAGCCACCTGCGTCCTCCCCCACTTCCGGGCTTCCTGACTCTGTCTTGACACGGGGCCCAGGTGGGAGGTGAGAGGGTGCGGCAGATTCCGCATAAGTCTACAGTAGGTGACCTAACTCATGAAAGGTGTCGAACTTTACGAATGATTGCCAATCACTCGCAAAACGACACCATTTAATGAATCTAAAGTCTATGTTAATTAAGAACAAGTTTTAAAGAATTAAAAACATAGAAGAAATATTAAGAGCAGTGTTGCGTTGTTTAGAAATGCCGATTTTTGGAAAAGCGCAATATCTCTAAAACGTCAGAAATGGCTGTAATTTAGTAAACTTTGTTTGTAGATGTACAGACTGCATTCTCGTGCCACAAACGTAGTAAATATGAAAGTACTGATAAAAGAGCGTTTAATAATAGTGTTTCAATGAAGTTCACATATAAATATCGTTTGAGAATTAGTGTAATTTCATATATGGCGGTTTGTTAACAGCCTACAGTCTGAGTATAGATGTCAAAATAGTCTTCCAGGGATTTGTGGTATTCTTTACTCGTTAACTTGAATAAAATGGGGTTCAACAAGAGAAACGGGATTTTGCTTGATTTCACCGATGGGGACGTCGTAGCAACAAAAGTTTTCATAAGGTGACATGCTGCCAGGCCGATCGGTGCCTAATAAATTAAAATAGAACTGAGAGGCGTGATCGTAAGCGTACCATTTTGTGTTTCTGGAGAGAACTTTTCTTTCGTTAAATTAATTTATACCTTTTACTCGTTTTGGATTACGTTGAGTTTCAGATCGGCCTTGAAACATTGCTAAATACTTCACGATTTTCAGTGTTTTCACCCAGTCGTCCATAAAGACAGATTTTGAATTACCTCTCTGTTGAAAACTTTAAAATAAAGTAATTCTTGAAGGCATTCACCGAATTAGTAAGTGCTTGGGCGCTCTTTTTCACAAAAAAGTCGTTTGGGTCATATGCGAATACTTATTTAAACAACAAACTTCAATTTCGAAAAAATGACTGCCCACAACAAAAGTTAGCAACGAATACGCCTTCGATCAATAAGAAAACGTTCCCTAATACAAGTGCTTTAAGAAGTGCTCTAATACTGCACTCCGTTGGCGGATCTCTGTGTGCTTTGCCCTTTTTCAATGTGAGACCAAGAGAAAATTGGACGCTTTTGGCCGTTTCTATCACGTTCCTAAAACACAATTTCTTTACAAGAAAAGGACATTTCATTGAAGGAAGCGGATGAGCAAGCAAAATGCGCAACGTTAAAGACGTCCAGAAATTCTCGCATCAGTTTCCATTGTCAGGTTTCATGAGATAGGTCACGTACTGTGCTATCACCTTAAACTAACTCACGAGTAAATCACCATCTCATCTCCAACTCTGTTGTGGAGCACACGGTGGACATCGTCAAGCACGACGGTCGAACTGTCGAGAGAGTTCGGTTTTTGTGATTGCGCTGATGAAGTATACATGAACAATAAAAACAAATATGTGCGATCGGCTTCCAACGCGACGTAATCTTAAAAATGAAAATGCACGTCCTAATTTCGATAGTTGCCTGGATACCTGGACAGTGTTTGTAGTGATTAATTAAGCTCGTGCCACTAAGTGGCATCAGAAACATCGGAGTGGCATGAAGATGTTGATGAGACGTCTATGAGGGGACCTGAAACTATTGTTGAGGTTGGCGAGTCCGTGGCCAGCAAAGGCGAATATAACCAAGGATGTTCCGATTACAAAAGTGGCTATTTGGTATGTCCGGTGAGTAGATGGTCAATTTTCCCTAGTACGTTGTCGGGCCGTATGGGAAGTCATAACAATTCCAGATAAATGATGATCGCACAAAGCTCACTCGCCTTGATCCTTAATTTGGCAAACATTATCTTTCTAGATTGTTCTGTGAGTCGACACAGACGATGCCAATAACCGCATGGGGTACTATTGTAGCCAAGTGAAACAGAGTCTTAGTGAGGGCAGGGTACTCCGACACAAGAGGCAACTGACCCCTTGGATGAGATACAGTACTGCCAATGATTTCCACGATATAGGCCAGCTGCCAAACCCCCTGCAGTAGCTACTGTCTAAATTTTCACGACTCGCAGACACCTTGTTTTTGTAAACATTAAACATGTATCTCGTTCATGGACAAATGAACTCCCACAAATATTATCTTACAGGACGTTGTTGCGTGCCTGCTTGGTCAATAGCACGATGAGAAAGACAGGAGGTAGTTGAAACCAAACGAGGACAATAGAGTCGGTATGAACAGTTCCCTCCTTTTGTGATGGTGTAGTATTGAAGACCAACAGGTTGCCGTATTGAAGAAATGTTCAGTCGTTATGCGTCCAGGAGGATATTATAACTTTATCCTTGCAAGGAGAAGGTCAACCAAGTGTATTTTCAGACGACTCGGCTATTACTGCGGGTATTCAGTGAAATCTGAGCATTCCAGGTGACTTAATTATATAATTTGAAAATACGCTCGCATAGTTTTCAACAGAAACGTATTTTTCAGTAAAAAGGACAGAAGTGAATTAACGTTCGTGTCAGTTGGCTTCATTTTTTGAAGGGGCCCAAGGAAGGAGAACGGAAATGCAGTAGCTTCTTTTAAAGTGAAACATAGACATGATTCCGTAACGGCAAAGGAGTCCGTACAGTAGGAATTTCCGTGGATGGGATCTACGGCATGCCCATACGCAAAGTCTGGCTCCGTTAAAGTTAGTTAAACGTCCTGAGCACTAGATGCATTTTGCAGCAGAAGCGCAGGGGCAGACATTGTGAATGAAGTTCAAGGGGATAATGGAACACGGAGAACTTAAAATATACGTAAAGTTACCGGCAAAGTGAACGAACATGAGAGGAAATGTAAAAATACGCCGATTAATGCCCAAAATTCAGTTTCACAATCATCCTGCAGCAGTACAGTGAGTTATAGGTATCGTCTGTTTCTACTGGGTGGCAGGCGGGGTACACGACCGATGGTAACTGGAGTCGTATTCCACGAAACCCGTCATACGGGAGAGGTTAAAGCTAAGACACGCAAATATCCAATACCGTAGGCAAAGATGCAAATATCCAACAACTAGTGGCGAGGTGGGCGCAGTTGTGATTTGCGTGCTTCGCGTTTGCCTTTGGTGGCGGTGATGCAGTTGGCTTCGTATATCGCTGCGCCTGTTTTCATTGTCCTCCCCAGGTCGGTCCGTCTCGGGCAAGATCTTCCCAGTTGGCCGGGAAGGTGGCCGCTCAAACGCAGTTGCAACTGTCTCAACATGGCGCAGATGCTGAGGATTCCCGTCCGCTCCAGTACGTTAGTGTAGGGGATCCGGTCGTGCCATCTCAGCCTCAGTATCCGTCGAAGAGAGTTGAGATGAGAATGACTGATTCTTCGCGTCTTCTTCTTGCACACCGTCCAGATATCAGCTCAATGCAGCAGCGTCGGCAGGATGACCGCCTTGTACATCTTCATTTTCGTGTTGAGGTGGAAACCGTGGCGATTCCATGCTTTGCTTTGAAGACGATCGAATGCGTGGCTGGCCTTGGATAACCGCAGGTCACCTCATCGTCGTTCTTGGTGCTGCTGGAGAGGGTACTGCCCAGATACGGGAAGTTGTCCACAACTTGCATTTGGGTTGCGTTCACGCTAATCTGTTGCGCATTGTAGGGAGGGGCTGTGTTGGGTGGCGGTTGGCGCATGACAACCGTCTTCTCCGTGTTAATAATCAGGCCGAAGTTCTTGCAGGCGGCAGCGAAGAGTCCCATGCTCCTTCGCATGTTCCCTTCCGAGGCGGCGTTGAGGGCGCAGTCGTCGGCGAAGAGAAGTTGGTGGACGGTGGTTGTGAACAGGCGCGATTGGAAGTGAATCCGTCGTTGGTTGAGGATGCGGCCGTCCGTCAGCATAACAGAGAACATTAGACTGAAGGGAGTAGGCGCGAGGACTCAGCCCTGCCTCACTCCGTTGGTAACTGCGAATGCCTCTCAGACAGCTCCGTTGTCCATGACGCGCGCCATCATGCCATCGTGGAGCCGACGCATCATCTGAGTAAATCGCTCGGGACAGCCGAATTTCAGCATGATTTTCCACAGCCCTTCACGATCCACCGCGTCGAAGGCTTTCGTCAGATCCACGAAGGGTAGAGTACTGGTGGGTCCGCATTTCCTGGCACTTCTCCTGAAGTTGGCCTCCGGCGCAGGTCATGTCCGTGGTCCCACGATGATGGTTGAAGCCGCACTGGCTTTCTGGTAGAAGACCCCGTTCTAGATGGTGATTTAAGCGGTTGAGGAGGATGCTAGCGAAGACTTTCCCAATAATGTTCAGCAAGGAAATGCCTTGATGGGTGTCACAGAACTGACGGTTGCCTTTCGGCTTATAGAGATGCACGATTGTAGCGTCCTTGAAATCACGCGGGACTTCTCCTTGCGCAAAATATCCTGAAATAGTGCCGTCAGATGATCCATGAGTTGGGTAGCACCGTGCTTGTAGACCTCGACAGCGATCGCGTCCGATCTGGGTGCTTTCCATTTGGGCAGCTGCTGCACGGCCCCGATGGTTTTGTGCAGAGAGGGAGAGAGGTAGAAGTCAGCGTTGGTTCCCACTTGAGGCAAACGGGCGATGGCAGGGTCAGAGATGGTGGAGGGGAGGTTGAGGACGGATCTGAATTGTTCGGCTCACCGCTATAGAATTTGTGTCTCCTCGGTGAGTAGGGTACTGCCGTCGGCGTTGAAAAACGGAGCAACTGCTTTGGTTGGCGGACCGTAGACAGTCTTGATCGCGGAGAAGAAATTCTTCCATTCCACACACGCACACACACGAAAGTTCGACCGTCGTGTTAGACGGTATTTACCGTGTGCCCCACAGCAGATGGTTGGGGCAGATACAGTGACTTGCGCGGGGTTTATGGTGCCGGTGGACGTGCGCTGCATCTACCACTCTCCTTCCTCCTCCCCCGCCCGAGCCCGGTGTCAAGACAGAGTCAAGAAGACCAGGAGACGAGGGAGGCCGCCGGTGGATGGCTTGGACGGATCCTCACCTTGGGGCTCTACTCCGCACCCCCTCGTCCTCTTAACAAATGGCCAGGACTTTTACCAACACCAATAAATAGAGTGGAGGCCGGAACGGCCGAAGCCGCACCTAGGCATGCCGCCATCGCCCGGCACGGATTCTACACAATGGGAGTGCCATAAAGGCCACATTAAAAATTAGCCACTGCAGCCTGACTCTCAGACCTCCATTCGAGGTCCAAGTTATTCCGTCAGTTGTCAACCTTCCAAGCCATGGCCCTTAGCGCACTGTGATATCTTCAAGCGCGTCAGATTGTTTATAGTGAGGAAAGTGCGCTGAGTCGTCGACCTCACTCTCCCTTCCCATTCTCACACCCCAGCCACTGTCCGAGCCGGTCAGCTGACTGGAGCGGGGAATGGGCGCGGTGGCTGGCATGATCGAGTGACCATGTCTGCGTACGCCACGTGCACGACCTGGCCCCCAGACACACATACACCAGGATTTCGCTCAGTGGGGGTTGAACGGTGGATCTCTTACTTGCGTGAGAAGGCCTTGGAGGGTGCTGTTTCAGCCCGTCTCCCAGCCCACCAGCCCACCAGTCCGCCACTCCACACAACACACATAAGTGAACGGACTGCATGAACCGAGTTGCGACGTCAATTAGCAGCCATCCTATCCACGACGCTTGACGCATCGACATAGTCTCAGGCTCGAGTCACGCGTGCAGCAGAGGCCGCACGGAGACCGACTCGAGATGCAGACTTCCTCTTGCGTCGGAGGTGGCAGTTGGGTGCTTGCGGTCACTGAGTGTTGATGTGTGGTGGTGAGGGAGGGAGGGTGTGATGGTGTGGTGCAGCCGGCGGTTGTCTACCGCAGGCGTTCGTGGATGTGCATGTGGCCGAATAGACCAATGCGATGCCTGAAAGTGCGAGGGCAGTGTGGAAAGTGGAGGCGAGTGCGGTTGGTGTATGTTGGTGCTCTATGTACTGGTTCTTCAGCCTCTTTGCGATGGATTCGCAAGCGACGGATTAGACCGATGCGTGAGGTGAATGTGCGTGGACAGTGAGGGCATGAGAAGTCGGTGGTATCGGGGTCGGTTATGGAGGTGGTGATGGTGGTGGGCGCACAGGGCCACAGGATGAGGGTGGGGCTGGGCGTGGTGGGTGTGTTGGGACTGCGATCAGTTCCGCTCTCATGGATGCGCATGTGACCGAACAAGTGATGTTGACGTCTGAGGATTGCATGCAGTGTTGAGGTGCGTGGCAGGCGCCACGACGGTAGGCGATGTAGAGGCGGAGAAGGAGGATGAAGAGGAGGAGGAGGAGGAGGAGAAGGAGGAGGAGGAGGAGGAGGAAGTTGAGGAGGAGGAGGAGGAGGAGGATGGAAGTGGTGGTCAGAGTTAATTGGCAGCGGAGAAGATGAGGAGGAGGCGGGTGGAGGGACGACGGTTGGTGCGCTCCGAGTGGGACAGTTTATCCGAAGGTGTCCAAGAAGTCCAATTCTTGCACGCAATGTCCGTTGACACCGAGGATACGTTGGAGGCGGTTGTGCGCTGGCATTTCGAAATGGGCTCTACTGTGATTTGCATGCTTGGCGTTTGAATTTGGCGGCGAAGATGCGGTTGGCTTCGTAGATCGCAGCGCCCGTCTTCACTGTTCTTCTCCAGATCGGTCGGTTGTGGGCGAGGTCTTCCCAGTTTGTCGGGTTAATTTGCAGACGCTTCAGGGAGGAATTCAGAGTATCCTTGTATCGGCAAATTTGACCTCCTTGGCGGCGAGAATCAGTGGCGACGTCTCCGTAGAACAGTCGCTCGGGTAGCCGCTCGTCGTCCATGCGCACGAGGTGGCCGCTCCAACGCAGCTGCATTTGTCTCAGCACACACACACGCTCGTCAATTACGTCTCACGCACCCGCCCTGTTATAGGACATTGGACCATCACAGAGCCTGCTGGCCATATGCCCATCCACGAAAACGATAATGACAACAACATAATACATATTTGATCAAAGCACCCTGCCAAACTGGCAAGCATCCCTCCCACACTGTAAACCGGACAGCTCTACAATACGCGCATACCCGCCGCCTCTCCGTAGCGCACAAACAATCAATTATATGGCAACTATGTGATCAACTTTGTCAGTGACATAATGGCAGTCGAAATGTCGCATGTCAGGACATACACATTTTAGAAACGTGGGAAACCTACCCACCACTTTACATGGCAAACTAATTGAGAACCGTCTTACGTATGACACATCGTCTCACCGTCACAGCTGTCACGCCGTGTTAGCCACAGTCCCAAACTGCATTACCCGTTGGTTGACAGTGTTGTACAGTAGACTGTGTATGGAAGACCGGAAATGGAGGTTGGGACCAAAATTAGAGAACCCTCATCCACGACAATCATACGCTTCTCATTACAATGAATAGGACGCCGTTTTAACTGTCACGCCACTCTAAAAGCCGTGACTTGAGAGGTTGCCAAATGACGAAATAACTCGGTCTCTCTGAGAACCGAGAGAGAGGGAGAGAGAGAGACACACTAACTCCTAGTGATGTGAGCTCCGAACTGTCATTTACGCCAGGTTGTGTGTACCACGCGTAGATGGGCTGTTAAGTTTTGTCAGTCACTACGCCTGTGCGCACCTCCGTTTGGTTTGACTCTGGATGGTCATCGGAACACGGCTGATGAAGGGTGAAAGAGTGTGGTAGATGCGGCGAAAGTCCTTGCCACCGTTAAGTAAATCATCAGCAAGTCACTCTGCTGAGCCCACTCAACGAGTCACGCGGTAGAAGTCGTTGCTTGTGATGGTAGAACTATCGATACATGAACCATCCATTGCGTATTTGCTCGATAAGAAGTCCGCACAATGACTGATAATTTTTGATAGATTTTACTCGTTTCATATAACCCCCCGGTAGATTTGCTTCCTTGTTTTCGGCCGTCTCAACTGGCAGTTTCCGAGCATAAATCGGATTTGCAAGTTCCAGGACACTGTCATTATTACGAACAAGTATGTCAAGTGAAATTTTTGTGAGCATCGAATGCGTTCTCCTAATAAATTAAGTCGTTACAACGCAGCGCGTCCGTTACAATAGCGGAAACACGCTGAGCCTAAGGTTAGTCTAGAAAACAGCCCACTCAGGCACTTAATCGGAAGATAAGTAAGTCAACTGACAAAATAGCCACGTAGATAGGTATAAGGTCAAGGGAAATGAACAAATGTAAGGAAAACAAAAACCGACACCATGTCGGCCGCTGGATAAGCACAATTCAGAAAATGGAAAGCGATGAGTTCACCTAGCCTGTTTAAGTAACGGACTACTACCACGAAGTTACTACCAACTATTCAAGGTCATTATTGTGTGAAAGTTATTTACAACTCAAAACTCCGAAGCAATAGCATCGAGAACCTCAGTGAATCCCTTTCTTAATAATATTTCTCAAGTGCTCGAAATGAAATCTGCCAAACGATTGAATAGTTTGTTGCATCACAATGATGTCGTGGCGCCTAGACCTCCTGTGGTAAATAGGAGACGACTAACGGCAAGTTTCAGTGCTTGTAAATGTGTGAGTCTTCCGTCATATTTGTCCTTCGTCATATCGCACCCAGCGGTCTGAAGCTTCCTGTGTGCTTTTCTATCCTTTAAGTTGCTTTGCCCTAATTAGCAACCTTACTTTCGCTCACGCTATCGGCTGCATTTGTGAGAGTTTGGTGTAAGGTAGTGACCGCGTCTGATGCAAAGTGCAATTAGTCCGGTTGAGGGGAAGAATAAACCCAGTCGGTAAATAATAACGATCGAGAGGGTCACTTAAGTTAATTAGTGAGTCTGTGTATTTAGCAGGGTCTGTGTTGAGGCGTAGCTAAGGAATCCTAAGAATAAGTAAAAACCATTAACTGCCAATATAACTGGACGAGCGTTCAGTCGAAACGCACGTTTTCGCACGGAGAGGCCAGGAAGATTGCCCAGAAGCACATGGTTTGGAGTCGGACGAACAGGCAGGGACATTCAGGCTCTTCTTGATGCTAGCATCAGGCCATATTTGGAGAATCTCGCTAAGTCGGAAAATCGGTGGCCTATGCCGTGATTGGTTGAGAAGATTTTGCGAGTAGATTGGACAAAATCGAGTTTCTAAACTACCCGATGACTAGTGTGTAGAGTTCATTAATGTGCTCAATATTTTCACAAGAAGCCCATATTACTGCATTTAAGTCACCAATTGTGAAGTACTTAACAGGTTAGGTACGATTTGTCAATATCAAGAACGGCCGTGGTCATACTAATGCTGGCCGTATAAGTGGAAACAGTACCCGCATGAGCCCTCCCCCGCCCATAAGACTGGGGCACAAGGTCACAGTTCTCCACATATCAATCAATGACATCTCAGTCAGTGAGTCTTACGCTCCACATTTCGTCTCCTGTCTTCATGTTGGTCCTCCTTTTGGTCTCACCATGCCTATACTAAGTTACCATTAAGACTGACGCTGATGTTTGGCTTCTGCGAAGGGCTAGTTTATCAAAAAATCTTGATTTACATCGCGATACGGAGTTCCAGTTATTAGTACTGGTTTAGTAAGAGTCCCCTACACTATTTGTAGAAGACTTAGTGTCGACGATTGAAGTTAGACTAAAATGAGCTGTTCAGTTTACAAAATGTCTGATCCTGACACAAAACGTCTAAATGTAGCCACATCTGTTGAAAACAGCAACAAAAAAACAATTTCGTAAGAAAAAGATATTAATTGCTAATTATACAGCAACCACGATAAAAAAAATTGACAGAATATGTGGAAAAGGAGGCAAAAAGGTATAGGTTTACGCGCATTCTCGATTTTTCACTCTAAACTTTCCTGTAGACCTGAAAGTTTCTGTACGGTTGCTTAAATTAGCTAAAATACACACACTTGGTTTTGGTTTGTGAAAAAGCGTGACTTTTGTGTCCGTCTGCCGCTTGGTGTCATTGTTTCGCTGATTGCACTCATTCGCCCCAATCGCTTTTAGTCAATCCACACGAAACATTTATACCTTTTGACCATATTTAACTGGACGTAAATTCACCTGAGCGACAAGCCTCATTAACTGACTTCGTCTCGGGGATTTTGCACAGAACATTCACCGTACGGCCAATAATTCTGGAGAAGGCTTTATTTTTCGTGAGTCTGTACAATTATTTACCTTTTGTTGTTTTTCTTATATTCTTTTTTCCATCGTTATTTTTTTTGTAAGAAACGCAGCATCCCCCATTTAGAGTTAAGTATTTATTATTCTTTGTAGTTTAAGTGCTATTTACACTACAAAGGCATGGCGCGGGGGATTTGTAAATTAATAAATAGCAGAAGTCTTAACAGTTGATAACGAAAGATCAGACTGTTCGGACTCATGAATTCGACTTTAGAACCGTCACCACTTTCGAGAGAATAGGTGTTTGGGTACCGCTTGTCGTTGAGATGATCCCATTCAATATCACCAGAAGATCTGGAAACCCACGAATTTGATTTTTTATATTTGTACAGTAAGACTCGATGCGTTTGTTCGTTGCCTCTATCATTAAGTCAATGGAATAGTATCAATGACTCACTCCAAACTGTTACGGATTTATGCAACAGCGAACCCCTCCACTTCCATCGCAACTGCCGGTCCTACTAATGAACTCCAAAGGTTTTCAAAATTGCAGTTCATAACCCTCTGCACTTGCAAGTTTGCGCAACTGAGAGCAGGCAAACTTTAATTATTTCACTACAGACGATGGCAGAATAATCCAGTACAGAACGCATAAACGTGTACGGAGCTTTGGATGTCCGTAGATAGTTATTAACCAGATCAAAACCAAGTCTCAGACTCTCAACTTTTTAATACATCCGGCACCTCCATAAAACTCCTTCAGTGGACTACAAACGTCGGTGCAAATAAACGTCGTCTCCATAGTAACATAGATTGTGTTTTCGCAACCCCAATGGGCACCGCGTACGTCGGATGGTTGTCCCAGCAAAATTCGTGAATTAAGTCAACGTACCGTAAATTTCACTCGGCCGCCACTGCATATTTTTGTCAAACTACACCTCTGCCTTCCCACGAACCATAACTTGAATTCTCTATATAAATTAGGCTTCTGCCATTGGTTACGTTCATCTGACGCACAAATAACCTGTCTTTAAAACCGCCAATATAACTCGATTCCTAAACAGTGGCCCTGAATAAAAGATTTTGTAGTATGCAGACCAACAACACAACACGACATCAAAAAGAAAGTCGCAATGTAAAGTATTCTATCGGTAACGGCTTCAGAGGAACTGCTGAGAGTAGGTGGGGAAGCAGTTGTACACGCTCTGCGAAAACCGAGTCTCCGTCACCCAATCAGGTTTTTTTTCTGCGCGACCTCATCAGGAATTGATTGTTTGATTTCTACATGCAGGATAAGGCCGGATCAATTTAGGAAAGAGAAGGAAGTAGCAAGAGACTGCTTGACGGTCGATTTCCCTAAATCTGCCATATGTCTTATCGCTTTAAGGTGTAGTAAACAACAGCGACAAACGCAGCGAAACCACCTTCCGACGGTACTTTCACAGTATGAGTATCCACCGAAATAGGCGTTTCGTCAGACAGGGGAAAATGGAGACAGCAACGGGCTCAGATCTCAGTTAAAGGGTGGCAAAGAGTGGGGTGCTGTACAAGTAACGAGAGGAGAGATATCTGCGTGAATCCCCAACGATTCCACTATGGGAAATGTAGGCAAATCCGTACGGACAGGGAAGTCAAGTACAGCATCTGTGAAATAAACTTTGAGCTTGTGAGCGGGATCCACGAAGCTGAGATCATCGGAAACATCACCAGCCCTGATAATACAACGGGAATCATAAAAGGTTTCCACAACCATTAAGAGGCCATGTCTGATGACTAAGAAGCTGAATTACGTTGCATACGAAGACAAGAGAGGCCGGGTGCAAAGATGTAGATGCGCGAAAGCTTGAATATATAATAGAAGTTGATCTGGAAGTTCCGCACAAATTCATGACTTGGTTAATCCGCTGGAAAGGTCCGATGATAGACGAACCTAGCTGCTGCACCTAACAGCAGAAAAGTCATAGTCTGCCAACGAATGGGTGACGGATGGGTAGATGAAAGGGCAATAGGATATAATAGCATCCGAGGAGGCTCCAGGACAGCTGCTGACAAAAGCCGGGAACAAACATCTGACTGATTAGTTCGTGCACTAGACATGCCGGTTGATTTGAGAGTCCCACGGGGTAGAACGTGATTTATTGACGAGAAGTTCGGTCTAGTTCGGTTCATTTGATGGACTCGAATTCATGTCTTAAACTCCTGTTTGTCACACACACATACACACACACACGACAGTTCGACCATCGATTTCGATGATGTCCACCGTGTGCCCCACAGACTGCATTGTGGGAGCAGGGACGGTGACTTGCGCGGGAGTTTATAGTGCCGGTAGGCTTGCGCTGCATCTACCTACAATCTCTCCTCCTCCCCCGTCTGAGCCCGGTGTCAAGACTAAGTCAAGAAGACCGGAGACGAGGGAGGCCGCAGGCGGATGGCTCGGACGGATCCTCACCTTGGCGTTCCACCACACCCCCTGGTCCACACAACAAATAACCAGGATTTCAACCAACACCACAGAGATTTGGAGGCTGGCACGACAGAAGCCGCACCTAGGCGTGCCGCCGAAGCCTGGCACGGATCCCATACTGTGGTGAGAGTGCCGTAAAGGCCACATTAAAAAAGAGCCATTGCAGCCTGACTCTCAGACCATCACCAGTCAAGGAGGAGGTCCAAGTTACCCCGTCAGTTGGCAACCTTCCAATCCACGGCTTTTAGCGCACCGTGATAGCTTCAAGCGCGTCCGATTGTTTATAGTGAGGAAAGTGCGCTGAGTCGTCGACCTCACTCTCCCTTCCCCTCCCCACACCCCAACCACTGTCCGAGGCGGTCAGTAGACTGAAGTTGGAGATGGGCGCGGTAGGTGGCACGGTCGACTGACCATGCCTGCGCGCACCACAGCACGACCTGGCCCCCCATACACACAAACACGAGGATTTCACACAACGGGGGGTTGAACGGCGTGTGTCACACAAAAGTGAGAGGGCCGTGGAAAGTGCTGCTTCAGCCCGTCCCCAGACCACCAACCCGCCACTCTACACACCACACACAAAGCGACAAACTGCGTGGGCTGAGTGGGGGCGTCAATCATCAGCCTTCCTATCCACGACGCTTGACATGTCGGGATAGTCTCGGACTCAAGTCACCCCTGCAGCCGAAGCCGCACGGGGACCGACTCCCGCTTGCGTGGAAGGTGGCAGTTGGGTGCATGCGGTGGGTAAGTGTTGATGTATGGTGGTGGTGGTGGTGGTGGAGGAAGGTAGGAGTGTGTGAATGTGTGGTGTAACCGGCGGTTGTCTACCGCAGGTCGTCGTTGATGCGCATGTGACCGAATAGGCCCATACGATGCCTGAAAGTGCGAGGACAGTGTGGGCAGTTGAGTAGAGCATGGTGGGTAGAGGTTAGTGCCCCAGGCACTGGTTCTCCAGTCTCTGTGCGATGGATTCGCAAGTGACCCACCAGGCCGATGCGTGAAGCGAAGCTGCGATCTCAGTCCTGGTTCTCACCTCTGAAGACATAGGTTGCAGGGGTTATGCCTGTTGTTGTGACAGGTATGTCTGTGGTGATGTCGTGCGCGGCAGACGCCGGAGCGGCCGTAGTTGTGGCAGTGAAGGCGGAAGAGAAGCAGGCAGGGGAGGGGTGAGGGGTGGTAAAGTCGGTGGCGTTGACGTCGGTTGCGGAGAGGTTTGCGGGTGCACAAGGTGATGAATTGGAAGTGGGACTCGGCGGGGTGGGTGAGTCGAGGCTGCGGTCAATTCCGCTCTCGTGGATGCGCATGTGGCCGAATAGACCCATGCGATGCGTGAATGTGCGAGGGCAGTGTGGGCAGTGGAGGCGAGTGCGGTGGGTGTAGGTTGGTGCTCCAGGCACTGGTTCACCAGTCTCAGTGGGATGGATTCACAGGTGACCGACCAGGCCGATGTGTGAGGTGAAGGTGCGGTCGCAGTGAGGGCAGGTGTAGTCCCGATCCTCATCGCTTGAGTCGGGAGAGGTGGGGGAGGTGTCGGTTGTTGTGTCGGGGTTGGTGATGTGCGAGACGGCCACCTCAGCGGCCGCCATTGGGGTAGTGGTGGTGGTGGTGGTGGAGGAGGAGGAGGAGGAGGATGAGGAGGAGGAGGAGGAGGAGGAGGAGGAGGAGGAGGATGGAATTGGTGCTTCAGAAGAATTGTTAGAGTTACTTGTCGGAGGAGAGGAGGAGGAAGAGGCAGGCGGGGGGACGATGGGTGGTGCAGTCTGAGAGGCGCAGTTGATCCGAAGATGTCCGACAAGTCCAATTAGAGCCCGGAATGTCCGTTGACACCGAGGACACGTAGGTAGCGGTTGTGCGTCCGCGTTGCGGACTGGCCCCAGTTGGGATTTGCGGGCTTCGCGTTTCGCTTTGGCGGCGGCGATGCGGTTGGCTTCGTAGATCGCAGAGCCTGTCTTCACTGCTCTCCTCCAGGTCGGTCGATCGTGTTCGAGCTCTTCCCAGTTGGTCGGGTTGATTTGCAGGCGCTTCAGGGAGGACTTCAGAGTGTCATTGTAACGGCGAATTTGAACCCCTTGGCGGCAAGAACCGGTCGCGACGTCTCCGTAGAAGAGTCGTTTGGGTAGTCGCACGTCGTCCATGCTCACCAGGTGGCCGCTTCAGCGCAGCTGCATTTGCCTCAGTATGGCATAGATGCTGAGGATTCCCGTCCGTTCCAGCACATCAGTGTCGGGAATTTGGTCCTGCCAGTTCAGCCTCAGGATGCGACGGAGACAACTGAGGTGGAAGTGGTTCAGTCGGCGTGCCCGCGTTGTGTACACCGTCCAAGTCTCCGCTCCGTACAGCAGCGTCGGCAGGATGACGGCCTTGTACATCTTCAGCTTCGTGCTCAGTTGGAGACCATGACAATTCCAAACTGTGCTTTGAAGGCGACCGAAGGCTTGACTGGCTTTCGAGATCCTGTTGGCGACTTCGTCATCGATCTTGGTGTTGCGCAAGAGAGTACTACCCAGGTACGGGAAGTTCTCCACCATTTGCAGTTGGGTTCCGTTCATGCTGATTTGCGGCGGCGCGTTGGGGGCTGTGACTGAGTGGGGTGGCGGTTGGTGCATCACCACCGTCTTCTGCGTGTTAATGACCAGCCCAAAGTTCTTGCAGGCGGCGGAGAATAGGTCCATGCTCCGTTGCATGTCCTCTTCCGAGGTGGTGTTCAGGGCGCAGTCGTCGGCGAAGAGGAGTTCGTGCACGGTGGCTGTGGATACACGCGATTGGAAGTTCATGCGCCGTTGATTCAGGAGATGACCATCCGTCCTGTAGGTGATGAGGATTCCAGGGCGTTCGTCACGGTAGGCGTCCATCAGCATGGCAGAGAACATAAGACTGAAGAGGGTTGGTACCAGCACGCATCCCTGCTTCACTCCGTTGGTCACTGCGAATGCCTCTGAGACAGCTCCGTTGTCCGTGACTCGCGCCACCATACCGTCGTGCAGCTAACGAACCGTCTGAGTGAATTGCTCCGGACAGCCGAATTTCTGCATGATCTTCCACAGTCCTTCACGATTCACCGTGTCGAAGGCTTTCGTCAGGTCCACGAAGGTAGAGTACAGGTGGGTCCGCATCTCCTGACACTTCTCCTGAAGTTTACGGGCAGCGTAGATCATATCCGTGCTCCCACGATGACGACGGAAGCCGCATTGGCTTTCCGGCAGAAGGCCCTGTTCCAGATGGTTATTTAGACGGTTGAGGAGGATTCGTGCGAAAATCTTCCCGGCGATGTTCAGCAAGGAGATGCCACGGTGATTGTCGCAGACTTGGCGATTTCCTTTGCGCTTTTAGAGATGCACGATGGTTGCGTCCTTGAAATCTTGCGGGACTTCGCCTTGACGCCACATCTCCTGGAAGAGCGCAGTCAGATGATCCATCAGTAGGGGACCTCCGTGCTTGAAGACCTCAGCAGGGATTGCGTCCGATCCGGGTGCTTTCCCGCTGGAGAGCTGCTGCACGGCCCTGATGGTCTCCTGGAGAGATGGCAGAAGGTCGAGATCCATGTTGGTCTCCACTTGCGGCAAACGCCCGATGGCGGCGTCGAATATGGCGTGGGGCGATTGAGGACGCCTCGGAAAGGCTCGGCCCATCGCTGTAGGATTTGCGTCTTCTCAGTCAGGAGAGTACTACCGTCGGCGCTGAGGAGAGGAGCAGTGCCCTTCGTCGGCGGACCGTAGACAGCTTTGATCGCGGTGAAGTAGTTCTTCCACTCATTGTGGTCCGCGTACCCTTGGATCTCCTCAGCTTTGTGAGCAGTCCAGGCGTCCTGCATCTCGTGCAGTCGTTGCTGAAGTTGGCGGCGACTGCGGCAGAAAGCAGCTTTGTTGTCCTCATTGGGGTGATCTGCGTAGGCTTTGTGTAGGCGGTTCTTCTCAGCAAGCAGGTTTCTGATGGCGGCGTCGTTGTCGTCGAACCAGTCCTGGTGTTGGCGGGGAGCGCGACCGAGGACGGCGAGTGCCGTCGACTGGACCGTGTCTCGCAGTTGACACCAGCGGTTCTCCACGGAGGCGTCCACGGCAGCGGCGGCGTCGTCGGCGGCAGCGATTGGAAGGATGTCTAGCCGTTGAGCTAGCTCATTGCTGGAATGAAGTTGGTGAGCGGGCAAAGACAACAAGGCAGTATTCAGTTTACCTGGGGGTCGCTTACCTTGTGGTCTCCTGCGAAGCTATAGGTGAATACGCATCTTCGATATGACGAGGCGATGGTCGGTCCACCCGTCAACGCCCGCGATCGCCTTTGTCACCAGCACGACCCGCTGGTCTCGCTTCCGGACGAGGACATAGTCCAGCAGGTGCCACTGACGCGACTGAGGATGCCTCCAGGTGGCCTTCTCTCGCTCCGGCAGACAGGAGAACGTGTTCGTCAAGATGAGGCGGTGTTTTGCGCAGGTGCGGAGCAGCCGCAGACCATTGTCGTTTGATCCGCGGAGACCATGGGGACCCAGCACTCCTCTCCAGCCTGTACGGTCTGTGCCGACGCGGGCGTTGAAGTCACCAAGGACAACTTGTCCGCCTTCTACACAGTCGCCAGGAGGGCGTGCAGGTCCTCGTAGAATTTGTCTCTTGCGGCGGCGTTGGGGCTGCTCATCGGTGGAGCTTAGGCGCTGATGATGGTGGCGAATTCGCCCCCCTGCCGGAGAGGCAGACGGAAGCTCATCAGGCGATCGTTGATGCCCTGCGGCAGACAGGGTAGTCGTCCCACGATGTCATTCCGGATGGCAAAGGCGACGCCCGCGTCCCGTCGCTCTGCCCTGGGCCGACCGCTCCAGAAGAAGGTGTAACCGGCACCCACCTCCTCCAGTTGGCCTTGTTCGGAGAATCGGGTCTCGCTGAGTGCGGCTATGTCCACCTTGTCGCGCGCCAGTTCCCGGGCAACTAGCGCTGACCTGCGTTCCGGTCGGTTGCTTCTCGGATCGTCTAAAAGGGAACGAACATTCCAGGCTGCCAGAGTGAGCGAACTCACCCTGCCAGTCTGGCGATTGCGGCGGCGAAAACTAGGACTAGGAGAAGAGGAAGAATAGGCTGGAAGAGGAAGAGAGTGATTGTTGTTGTTGTTTCGGCTTTGGCTGTTCAACCGTGTGTGTTTTGTCTGCGGCCACGGCCAGCCTACAGACAGCGTGGTTCCCAGCAACAACACACACACTCATAAGAAGCAATTGCACCGACTTATAAAGAGTACAGTGCGAACGGACAACAAACTTGTTTTCACATAGGTAAACATGTCCATAAACTACACAGTTGCATAGTTTACCGTTGTTGCGACACATGTCTGTTATGACGATGTTTGACTGCTTCTACAGAATGAGGCATAACAGACGACTCTCGCAAGTCATTTCACGGTTCTTTCACACGGTTAAGGAAAGAATATTTTGCTAAATTTCATCTTCGTTAGGGCACACGTACTTTGAAAGGGGTGCTCATGTGGGTTTATAGCGATGACGAGTTGATAGATGTCAAACGCAGGAAGGTGCAGTCTAACCCAAGTAGGATAAAGGGGGTTGTTTCAAGTTCCCTCGCAGTTGCCTATAACTCAGAGGCACGAAGTTTGGGTTAGTTAGGCGGGTCGCATACGACAATGCTCCCTGACATTGGACTAATTTGATAACTGCCTTCCGAACCCTTTCGAGTAGGTTGCAGTCTTTTGAGGGAGAAGATGGGCTCACCGGAACGGGAGAATTTAGCGGCTGACGCTTCGGAGAGCCTGGTTGACTCTCCATTGTCAAAGCGTCAAATGCACTTAATCAACTATAAGTCCCAATTGGCATGTCACTTTTGCCTCACGCTGATCGATTGTTCTCTTCTCTCTCTGCCTTGGCCTTTCAGGGTATGGTTGACGGGCGTTTTGACTGCGTGCTTTGTGAGTCCCCACTCCGTCGAGGGGAGGTGACTGAACCTCTGTCGGATGGTCGGTCTGGCGGTTCTTTTTCTTCTTCACCGAATAAACTCGCCATCAGGCCGTCTCCCTATGGCATTCTTAAGTCCGGTGTGGTTGTTTGGTGCTGAGCTCTACGATTGTGATGACTAAGGACTTTGTAGGCTGCAGGAAGATCCAGATGCCTGTTAATGGAGTGGGCATCGGAGTACCACGCCTGGAGAGTTAGCCGTTCTGTTTTTGTGTTTCCCTCGCCTAAGATGGGAGCTCTCAGGACATCGAAAGTATGCTCAGTTTCTCCAACGTACGTTGCTAGTTGAGAGTTAGGGCCTAACCTCCGAATGGCCGATTTGTGTACACGTAGGCAAGTCTGCAATTTCCGTCAGGTTTTTCCCATATAGTTGCAGTCACCCTCATTGACATTTATTTTGTAGATGACTGCTGAGGTCTCAGGGGGTGGAAATGGGTCCTTAGTTTGAATCACACGGCGCCAAATTGTTGTCTGGGGTCGATGGACTATGCCTACCCTGGCTGGTTATAACAGTTGAGAGACCGCCTCAGAGACCCCTTAACGTAAGGAAATAGCCCTCCAGACTTCGGGATGCTACTCATTTGGCCGTCGTCTGTGCGCCCGACGTCTGCTTCTATTGATGAAATGCTTGGGACAACCACTGGCTGCAAATAGGTTCTAAAGGTACAATCGTTCGGCTCTTTTATCTTTTGGCATGCTGCAGTGTGTCTCGACTCTTTGGAATAGAGTGCAGACAGCCACGTTTGCGAGACAGAGGATGGTTGCTGTTGAAGTGTAGGATCTGTCTCGTGTCGGTGGATTTTCGGAATACTATGGTTTGCAGCTGTCCAGTTGTACACCGGCGCACTGGCACGTCAAGGAAGGGCAGTTGGCTGTTCGTTCCTGCTTCCATCGTAAATTGAATATGCGGGTCAACCGAGTTCAGTAGTTCCTTGAGGCGCTCAATATAAGTTATTTTCACAACGACAAATGTGTCGTCGACATAGCGAGCCCAGAACTTTGGTTGATACTTGGTAAGCACTAAGAGTTCTGTCTGTTGAGGAAGTACTTCTGATTGACTGATTGACGGACTTCAGCAGTTAGGCCTGACAGAGTGGAGCCCATAGGAGGTCCTTTTATGTGTTCGTACATTTGTCCACCAAAGGTGAAATAGGTCTTGAGGCAGTGTTGCAGAAGCTCGAGCAGATGCTCGAACTTCAGGGGCTCGTCTCTCTCCTCATAGCGCTCTGTCAGTGGTTGGTCCACAACTTCTATCGCCAGTTGCTGTGGAAAGGAGGTGAAGAGCGAAACGACGTCAACGGATAACATGGATTCCTCTGGCTTTAACTTCAGATGTTTTATGCGCTCAAGGAATTTGTTTGCAGACGCTACGCTTGTTCAGGAGCCTTCGGCCAAAAACTTGGGACGACCGAACATCCATTTTGCCAAACCGTACGCCGGAGTGCCACGAAGAGATGCGATTGGCCTGAGTAGGTCATTTGCTTTGTGTACCCTCGGTAAACCATAAAATCAGTCTTGGCGGTGTCAGTGGTTTTCACGGAGAACCAGTCGTTGGGCGTAATCGCCCCTCGGCCCTGAGATTTCTTAGGCTTTTACTTATCCGTATAATTTAATTTTTCATTTTGCTGGCACGGCATTTTTTGTAGGAATTCTGGTCTTCGACTTAGTCCTGTACCTTATTTTGGTAATCCAACTTGTCCAGCACAACTATCGAACGTCCTTTGGCCGCTGGCAGAATAATTATGTCTGTCTTTGTTTTTAGGCTTTTTAGTGCTCGCTGTTCCACATTGCTTAGAGTTTCGCACCTCTTGTGCTGCATAAGCAACGAGTAGATTTGGTAACGGATCACATCTTTTGTATCTTCTGACGCCTTTGTTACTTGAAGGATGGATTCAAAGGCAGCAATAAACTCTGTGGATGTGGCATCTGCTGTGTTAAAAGTGTCTCCACGTTCAAGAACTGCGAGTTGTAGGTTCGTTAGGGGTTTGGAGGAAAGGTTATGGACGAGGAGGTCTGACGAGTTTTCTGAGTTTGATACTCGAAGTTTTTCCAGTTTTGTAGATAATTCCTTGTCTCGTTTGACACGTACTTTCTGAGCATGTCTGAGAATGGTCAGGTCAATATCCCTCGATTCCTCACCGGCAACTGCCCAGAGAAAAAATATAAATTGGTCCGTCTCTATGTTGTAGCGTTCTAGTCTTTGATGGCAGTCATGATTAAGTGCGTTTTACGCTTTTACAATGGAGAGTTGACCAAACTCTTCGAAACGTCAGCAACTAACAAAACCCGTCCCGTTGAGCCCATCTTTTTTCTTCGAATCATTGACCCCGATCTCTCGACTTTGCCAGTCTGAACAGGTTGCAGTCTTGCTGCATGCAGAGTCTTCTGGCTTTGATCATATAATCAATACCTGGTCTGTGGAATTTTCCGAAGATTTTGGAGAATGCAGTTATGTTCAGAAACGACAAAGACTCATATGATGGGGTCAGTCATTGAAATTTGGAGTACTAGCCGCCTTAGACAGCGAGAAGAAGGCTTGTTCATTGCCGGAGTGACGTTCCATTTGGGCGATATATGCGTATACTGGAGACCTGCTTTTGATTTCTAAGATGCAATATGACACGCTCGTTAGAGCCGAGTGGAAGGACCTATTAGCGGACCACGTTCCCAATCGACAAATATCGTCATGGAATTTTGTCCCGTCGGCAGCACTGCCGATGGCGTTCCAGGTCTTGATCCCTGCGCAAACATGCCATACTTGCGGCTCAACTTCTATCCACAATCACTGATGAACAAGAGGAACAGAGTCGATCCCCGTAGTGAACCTTGTGGCACTCTTCTCTCCATCGTTGCGTGAACGAGCTCGTATAGTTTGAGCATTTGTCGCGACTGAACCTGAGTATCTGATCGGAATAAAGCGGTATGGACTCTCGATCTCGGCAAACCCACTTTGTAAGGATTGTTTTAATAACCATGATAATGTCGACCTGAGATATCTAACCACCCCCTTGCACCACATATTGAAAACTGCAACAACAATAGAATACAACGATTGTGGAAGAAGAAGAAGAAGAAGAAGAAGAAGAAGAAGAAGTGGGAAACGGAGCCCAACAGATCGACGTTGAAATTTTAGATTGGATAGCCCGCCTGAATGTGTTGTGCTAATTTGTGTCTCACAGAATGGTGTTTGTACGGCCAACGCACAGATATTTGTATATGTTCCACATGACGCATCGTTGAAATGGACATTGAAAGTGCTGTTTGCTGAAGTGTCTGTCCGAGGATGGTCAGCGGGACCCAAGCTGACCGGATTATGTCGCGAGGCATGATCTAAAGGCGTGGATTAATTTTGGTGCATATGGTTATAGCGGTGGAGGCAGGTCCACGTCAACCAGAGGAACCTTCATTTCAAATAGTTTGTTCGATGCCCCTAATGCCAATGATCTTAAAACATAGCTTGATTTGTCTTTGTAGTTACAGCATGCGCACAGTATAAAAAGAGGGAGAACTAGCTATCTAGGTCGGGAGGACGTCATCGCACTAGAATGCGAAATCGTTTGCTGCCGTGACCATGAAACAATGCAGTTAAAACTGAAAATGCGTGGTATGCCAAATTTGGACTTCCTGGCCGTGTATAGACAGCCCAATCAAACTCCAAAGAATTATGAAGCAATGTTTGGATTAAATTAAGACGTGGCCTAAAGCAAAGACGCACTGTTCGACGAAGACTCCAACGCACCAAGAATCGAGTGGAATAATTTATCAGTAGGCGGTTTGCATAATTTCTTTGATTCCAGACTATTAAAACTTAAAAATAAGTTCTTTTTCGCACAGAATGCCACGTTGACGACCAGAATCGATGGGGCTCAAGGGGCCCGGTTAATGCTGGTGAACCTTGGTACAGAATACCGCCAGGTAAGAACGACCATATCATGATGTTGTGGAAATATTGCTTGCGCACTCGCAAATGGAAACGACTGAGGTTCGGTCAAAATTCTGGCGAGTAAAATCTGTTGCTACGAGAGGTGAATCAAAGATACCAAGCTTACACGACTTTCTTACCCGGCATCAGGATTCCGACTAGAACGCCGCCAATGGAGTTATAAGGGACAAAATGAATTGCAATTGTACGACAAAAAGGTCCGCGGGGAAAATCATTCTGTCTGGTTAATGAGAGACATAAAGAAAGAAGTAAACAGAAGTCAAACTATTAGAAAGATATGTAGCAATAAAGCAACCCTTACATTACGAAGGATTTCGCCGAAAGAGGGACAAGGTAAAGCCTAGTGTTCGCAGGTTGTGGAAGGAGAATGAAACACAAACAATAGAATGAAACGTAGATAAGCCAAAAATACCATTTATCTACATCAACGGCAGTGCCAAAAGGAGAAAACAACGAGGAAATTGCCGAAAATGACGATAAGACAAACCACCTAGTCCATTTTTTGTACCTGTTTTCACCGATGAAACGGACTTTGGCCAGACAGAATTTCCTACTGAACCAAACGATGCAGCAATGAAAGGCATCGATGTGGCACAAGAAAGTGGGGGAAAGTAATGTTAGTCTCCGGGTCGGTGCCAAATATCGGCTAAAATTCTGAAGGAGCCTGCTGGCGAACTCTTCAGACCACTTTCGCATATCTTCCAGTCGTGCTCTGGTCGAGGCATCTGTCTTCTGACCGGGAGGTGGTGGATATATACCACATTAGGAAGGGCAAATCTTGAACGTATGCTAGCATTTATCAGCCGGTGAGCCTAAAGTGCATTTGTTGAAAAGTTTTAGAAAGGGTCGTCGAAATAGAAACTATGAATTTATTCGAAAAAAGTACTCCTTTGACAGGGTGCAACACGACTTTTGACGAAACAAGTCCTGCTTAACCAGTATGCTCTATTCAAAGGAATAGGGATCTTGCTCGCTAGATGAAAACCACAAGAGACGATATCTTTCACACGAGCTTCAAGAAAACTTCTACAAGGTCGGTGAATCTGAGATAAGGGCAACCTACTAAATTGGATATGAAATGTCTTGACTTATCGATCGCGGTCTCTGTTCTTTGACAATGCAAGATCGGTGCCAGTGCCAGTTGAGAGTGGACCACCTCAGGGTTTTGCGGTGGGATCATTACTGTTTCTTATTTATGTCAATAACTGCATCAATGGACTTGACTGCAAGGTAACCATGTTTACGGATGCAATCAGATGCAACAATGATGAACGCGCTCCACAAGGACTTAATCACCTGCATGAATGGTCCGATAAATGTTTGCTGAAGTTTCGTCTTCAGTAATTTGTCGCATTGCGGATAAAAATGAAAAAGAGAGGGCAAATGGAAATGTCACAGATGTTTCCTTGACGAAAGGTGTCTGCTAATTTAATAGAACGAGATCTCAGAATCACCATCTTGTTATCCTTGAAGCCCTTTTCTAAATGCAGCGGAGCGGTCAAAACGGCATCCAATGTTCTCTTCCCCAGTGAGGGAATTTTCGAAGATACAGATAAGGCACCATTTGGAAAGTAAGCTGGGCCGCTAGTAACCGGAATACCGAATCCAGGCGTAGTGCTCTTGGCTGAAAAAAATCATAGGTTGCTGGAAAGGGTTCAAAACGAGACGGCTAATATCGTGCAGGGCCTGTGGGTTTCATTACACAAATGCTGACATGATGATCTTAAACTTTTTCTTCTTGAGAACAGATATATTCGGGGAGATCACATCCAAACCGACCGGATTGCGAAAAACTGCGATTATGCCTTGCACTTCCATGATTCCTCCGCACTGACCACAAAAACTACCTTGCGTGGGAACGCCCTCAAGTTTTGAGGGACCTCATCCCACCTGGATGTTCGTGAGTAAGCGTTATCGCAGCGAGTTGTCGGTGCCTGGAACGGACTTCCCGAGAAAGTACTAATGGTGGACTCAACAGAGACATTTAAATAAAAACTGGATCTATATTCATTTGAAATGTACCGCTTGGACTCGAAACCAGTTGACGCAACTCCTCTCGCTGACTGATTATGCAGGTGAACAGAGTAAACCATCGCCATCGTCCTCGTTATCGATAGAACTCATCAAACTTCCGCTTACAGTCCTTTTTTTCTGCCGCCAGCGTATACCCATGCTCGTTTCTTCTAGCTTCCGACAGCGGTACAGATTCCACCCTATGTCCAGTGGAGGTAATGGATTTCCCCTTTCTATTCTGGGCTGCAGGGCGACACGCTAATTTAAACTGAAGTTGAACAGTAATCAATCGACCACTGGCAGAGGCGACTAAGTTTTTCATTCAACGTCCGTTTATCATTATTCCAGTTGG